TTAAAGTCGCAGAGATGCGATGTAGACAGATGAGTCATCCTTTTAAAAAAGTAGAGAGAGAGAGAATGAATAAGAGCGGGAGGGAGCAGAGGGGTCCTGCTTTTGCGCAGCCCCGGCGCTGTGGAGGCGGATATGGAGCCTTAAGGCCCACGCTGGCACTGCCATCGCAGGACTGCAGAGGAAACAGATGGGCTCATGATTTACATCTGCTGCCTACGAGCTCCAGCTCATACTCTTTAATCTAAGAGCAGTGCCTCCTTCTTTCTCTCTCTCTTACTTCTTCCTGCTCCTTCTCTCATTCTCTGTCTCCCATCTCTCATTCTACCCCCTCACTTTTGCTGTCTGCTTCTTCTTCTCTGTCTGAATTCTGTTTCTCTGTCTCTGCTTTCTTTCTGTTCTTTCTTTCTTTCCCTTTCTCAGTTTCTTTCTTTCTTTCTTTCTTTCTTTCTTTCTTTCTCCACAAGTTGCAGTGAGTAGTTGGGAATTTGCATGGTAATGCATTCTTAAATTCTACTAGTCGTAAAATATTATTATAATTAATATTTTTTTTTCAAGAATTAATATTCTGGAATGTTAGAAAGGCTATGCATGGTCTGTTATTGTTCAGTTACAATCAATTCTAATTGTTTGATCTTCTTAAAAATCAGTCAGCATGAGCAATAGATTACTCATTTACTAATGTCGTCAATAGCGACAACCTTACCATCATTGCAGCACTTCACAACCAATGTTTTGCTTTTATGTGACAAATTAATTTCAGGCCAGGTCTCTTTTGCAACTGGCACAGCTGACAGTTGAGCACACTTGTTCTTGTTTCTTAATCACTCATTTTACAGTCTGTTGTGAGGTTCTGCTGAGGTTCTGGAGCTCTCATGGCAGCATGCATATGTATTAAAAGCAGTACGTGGGCAGCGCAAGCGCAACAACCCCCCCTGCCCTCGATACACCAGCTTCGCTGCCGGCTCAGTTTGAAGTCAGCTTCTCTGTGTAGGCTTTCCAGCCTTGCTTAATGCATGATCGGTGCCAAAAGTTCACCAACAAAGGTGCGATTCATCTGCCGTTTTTTTTTCTCCTCCCCCTTCACCGAATCGTTCTCCATGTAGCAATAATTGCCTCGTAAGTGCTTTGTTAATTGACAACGCCAGCGCTAACTAGAGACTCGGATTCAATTTAAAAAAGCAGTGCAGTTTGAGATAGGCACAAATGACTTTAAATGTTTAGTGTTCATCTCGAAATGTCTAAAAAGTTTGCATAGAGTGGCTTTTGGAGATGTTTAGGCTCGTTGAACTTTTGTGCACTTAGAATTTTTTTTGGCTGAAATAGTGTGTTTAGGCGTGTGTTGAATTGTTGTCTGATGGACAAATCACGACACTTGTATTCAGGATAATTAAGCTTAATTCTATTCCATCATGTTTCATAACAGCCTGTATCTTTTCACATTTTTTTCACAAATGAAAGCAGTCTTAAGATTTAATATATATAATAATATTTATAATAATATATATATATATATATATATATATATATATATATATATATATATATATATATTTGCAGGGGCTAAAATCAAACCTATATCACTCCAAACTGTTAGACCAATGAGTCCACAAGCCAGGGGCTCAGGGATGGGAGGGTTTTTTGGTTTTATGGTTAGCCCTTATTGAATGGAGAGTAGCTGCCTGTGGTAGTATTTCTCTTGCAACTATGTAGGGCCAGCACTCAAACCCACATGTGCACTGTGCTTGTGGGTGAAGTTCTGGTTTGGTAGGCTGCTGGTACTGAAATGCTTCCAAAAAGCATTTTTCAATAATCGTTTCATAATTCATCCAAGAGGGATTGGTAGATGTACTTGAGATGGTATCATTCTTCTTCTTCTCCTTCTTCTTCTTCTTCTTCTTCTTCTTTTCCTCCTTCTTCTTCTTCTTCTTCTGCTTATTATTATTAATATAGTCTTGTATTATATCATAGAAATGGTTTGGACATTAAGTCACAGCAAGATGCCACTGCAGACTGCAAGGCCAAATCACTCCCCTAATGCACTGTATGATTCTCCTAAAAATATTAAATCCAGTGAATCTAAAACATCCTGCACTCATGAAATGGTACAAATTTCCTTCAACATTTCTGCATATACATGAATTCCTTTATAATCCCTAAATGTGTTTGATCAAAGCCTTTCTTTGCCCTGACTGCATAGAGTTCCTCTCATATAGCAGAATTTCAAAATCACTGCTATTGCTGGTCATTCTCTGCTCTCAATTTCTTGCAGTAAATTAATCCATATCTTTGCCTCTTTGGTCATTTGACCCTGGTTTGTCTCTATCCATTAGGCTACCCTAAGAGAATAACATTATAGAAATTTGTTCCACCAACCTCACGTCTGCCATTAAATTTTGCTGGCACATAATTTTGTAAAAATATGTTTGATTATTCATGAGGCTGCTTAACAAATTTTTGTCACCTGTGGAGAATCTGAAGAATTTAGTAGAAGCTTATCATTATACTGTAATGTTTAATCATAATACAGTAACATTTATGACACTGCCTTCTCGCAACAGCACATTTCTTATGCGGATAATAAAGACACCTGGCCCATCATTCACTACAGACATTCATAGAAAGGAGGACACAGGTGGTTTCGCCAAAACCTTTTTGGGAGTCCTGCTAATTTCTGTGTGCTTCAAATGGGCTCTTATTTTGCCTCTGGCGGCTGGTGACATTTGGTACGGTCAAGGCTGTTTTGTTTGAAAATGCTGTTGGAGCATGCTCGTCTGGCATTTCCGCCCTCCGACATTTACACACATCTGTTACATTAGGCTAATGTGCAAGCTAAACTCAATCAGATGTCCTCTGGCCTGCCCACAACATTGTACACACACATATGCAAAGGAAACGTCTTACCTTTTCTGATGACCCAAATGTTGCTTTTATCGACTAGCCTGTTTGTTTTAGTACGAAGGAAACCTGTCAAACTTTTTCTATGGCTTCTCTCCTGGTCATGACTTAGGACAGTGGAGTGTACCGATGTATTGACACCTGCAGCTTTATCCATATTGGCAAAACTGCAGGCCTTTTTGGTCATATCACTACAGGCTGAGCAGGTTACTGTGAATACAGGACACCATCATTATTAGAATAACAAAAAAAGTAAAATGTATCCAAACCTAATATTTAGATATTTAGCATAAAGATAACATGTTAACATGTCATGACACAGAAAGTCAGAAACTTTTTCTATGAAGAGATCTGATGCAAGTTTCACATATTTAATAAGAAGGTGAGGGGGTTGTGGTCAAGCATAGTCCTCTGGTCTGAATCATCTACCTACCTAGAACCTAGGGCAAAGGTTCTAAACAGTGCTCACAGCAAAGAGGTAATTAACAGGAACAGTTATTTTATAAATAACAGCATGTTGCAAAGTGTTAGAAACCACATAAACAAGTCTGTTTGAGATTACTTAACAACTTGATGTGGTTTGAGAAGTGTTTGATGATTTAGGCAAGGCGTTTGCACATTGCTAATTGGTGATATAAGCTAGGTAGTTACATTAGCCCCAGAGCAGTAGTGCAAAACAAAAGAAAGCAAACTTGGAGACCTAACATGTCTTAGCTGATCGACTGTATGCGGGGCAAGGTAAAAGTTATGTATTTACTTATTTATATATGTATGTATTTATTTATTGATTGCTGAATTGTTGCTTTAAGGTATAGTGAGAGGTCCGTTGTTCCTGTAATTCAGATGCGCTAGGTGGCCATCTCCCGCTGCAGGCTTGCTGTGGAAACTGTGGACTGGAGAATCGGGTCACTGTGTGTTCATCAGTAGCCTCCGGCGGGTCGGTCACTTCAGAGTCTAATCACTTGAGTTCTTATAGAGGCAGGATCTTATTATGATGAGAATATAAATGTCCTCGTATATTAGCCCAGCGGCTGTCAGGAAGAGGTTAAATCAGCGTTATTTTATAAGCAAGCCTGGAGTTAGGGCTGTAGTAGAGCAAAAACACAAGAGTTGCGGTCAGTAATCCAATCTAGGTTAAAACCCACCTCAGGGCTTTGCGCCAACAGCCAACACATAGATGCTGTAAATGACTCTGGATATGTGTGTTGGGGTTTGAAAGAGAGAGCTTGTCCATAGAATGGCCATAGTGCAATGGAATCCCAGTCTAGTATTTCATTTTGGATCAGTGCAAGCATACATCAAAGAGTGACCTCCATTTTGAACGTTTGAAGTGTTTAAGGAAACCCACTGGAGCTGGACCCCATGACTATCTCACATTAGCACAGAGCACTTATCTCCAATACTGACAGACCTCATACTGCCAGCTTAATCTGAGACCAGAAACCCCTCTTTGTCTCTTTCTCACACACATTCGCAATATCTCTGTCTCTCTGAATGTCCCCATCGCTCCCCCTCTGTCTCCGGCTCGCTCTCTGTCTTAGTCTTGCTCTCATTCTTTCTTTTACTCACTCACTCAGAAACACGTACACAAACATGCAGAGAGAACTGGGGTGAATGGCATTGAAACAGTGAAGCAAATGTCTCCTCTCTCTGTGTGCCAAAACTGGGGATTCCACTGGGGTGCATCATTTATGTATGACCAGTACAGAAAAAGAAACTGGGCTTTCTTCCCCCCTAATGAATCGTATGAAATGTGCAAGTGCTTCTCTCTTATGGGTTCTCCAGCATCTAACCCTGTTCTACTGCAGATGGAATAGCTTTTTTTTATTCCTTTTTATAGAAGGAAGGAAGAGACTTGAAGATGTTAAAACATTCTAGGTTTTTATTTCATAATGGATTTTGTCTTTGTATGCTGTTCCCCCAAAACAATGCACGATTCAGAAAAAAAAATAGTGGTTACTCACTGTGTGTCTAGATGGTGTCAGCATTTCCTTTTAAATTACTTACATATGTTTCATTACAATGTCTAGTATTTGGCAATGGGAGTCATGTTGAATTGCTTCACAGTCTAAAGTGTTTTTCCCCAAATATGTTCTCTGTTGCAGTTGCTGTGAGCAGAAGAAAGCCTGGGCTTTAAAGATGTGGTAACATGCTCACCCTACCCAGCTTTTTTCTTCAGAGGTCCTTCCTCTAATGGTCCTCTTCAACTTTCTGCAAGAAGACAGCAGGACTCTTCATTCGTTTCTGCAGAACCTGAAATCTGTTGAACCTGTTAGAAATCTGCCATCCATCAAAAGCATCCCTCTTCTGTGAAGTTAAATTTTGCGACAGACCCACCCACAAAGTATCAGAAGTAGTGGACTGAACCACAGCCAGGGATACGAAAATGGCCAACAACACTGCGGACCATCTGCCAGGGAACTCGGTGGCCGAAGGCAACCATGATGGGGACTTTGGCTGCACGGTGATGGAACTTCGGGAGTTGATGGAGCTCAGGAGTGCAGAGGCGGTTGGCAAGATCAGAGATGTCCATGGAGATGTGCAGGGAATCTGTCGCAGGCTGAAAACCTCCCCCATTGAAGGTAAGACTAACAGACACAAACACGCACACCTACACTCATAACTCATTGGATGTAGTGCCTCTACACCGGTGGTTTCCAGTCCCTGTAGTTGGCAACACAGATTTAATAGGTTGGGAACAAATTGAGTGTAAAAAATGATGTGCTTGTCAACATTGTTTGATAGACAATATGCCTGTCATTAGTTTAGGGATGTAACGTCAGTTAGTATGGCTGACACATGCCCCCAAAACTCCAGTTAAGGGTGTAAATGTGTAGTGTGTGGAGAACACATTACATGTGGTAAATTCTGACTTATGGGGATAATGCTGTACATGTGGAAAGTGCAGCAAGTTGTCCCTAAACATGTATCCCTGTTAAGAGATCAAATCTGGCTCCGCAAGACTACTGTTAGGATAGATCTCCAACAGTGTTAGAAGACTGTGGTTGAATGAGGTAGTAGCTAAAGATGCTCCTAGATGTCATACCATAGACAGAAATGTCTTTCACTGCCTCCACTCGTGTCCAGAGTCAGTCCAGTGATGGAGCTGGCTTTCTTAACCAGCTTATTGAGCAACACGGCATCCTTTGCAGACCAGAGCACCACAGTTTTTGGTGGTTTAGTATGTTTGGTATTTTCCTTTCTAACACACACAGTCCAACTAATCAGCTAATTAACAAGCTCTTCCTCAGCTGAAGTGGGTCAATTAGAGCGAGAACAAGAAAATAATCGTGTAAAGGGTACTCCAGGACCAGGGTTGGGAGCCACCGCTCTACATTTACGCATTTCCTCACATGTCTGAAGACATACACCAACATAAATATTTACTCTCACTCCTCCACAAGCTGTAGTAGAGGTCTCCTGTCTCAAGGCTCCAGGCTGATGAACACCCGAGTAGGGAGTGAACACTATCAGTTAATGGGCTGAACTGATGGAAGAGTCCATTTATAGAGCTCAGTGACTTATTCTAGTGCCTTAAGTGGCATTTGATGACATGATGATTTTGCTTGTAGTGTGGGTTCTAGTTGCTCTTTGCTGGTCATACTTAAGTTCAAGAGGTTGATTATGGAGGATTTAGTTTCTCTTGTAATGTAGAGAGCTCTAGACATTCTTTGTCAGTATCTCCAAAGCCTCCTGAAGCCTAAACATGCTCTGGTGGCAACATCTGAAGAAGGTGAGCACACAGACCTTCCATCTGCACCGGATATTCCCTGGAGATGCAGGAATATTTCTGAACTGTTCCGGTGTCTAAATTAGAGATTACTTCTAGCAACAGGATGTACAGAATTAAAGAATTCCCATACTCCTTTGAAAATTCTGTAAAAATGATAAATAAAAAGCTTTATTTTCAGCTTGAAATTAGTGCCAGCTTCAAGAGCTTTGTGTTAATCTGAAATCAACAATACCAGTGTAAACCTTGTATTGGTATATGGCAAGGTTTCAGTGACGAACCCTATTTTCAGAAGCACTGTGATTACATGTTTTCCATTGCCGTGTCCCTGAACACTTCCTCGGAATTCAATACCATCAATAATTTGCCTTTGCAAATTCATTTTTTACTACTTCAGCTGCAGCATCATTTAGCTCCTGTCTCTGTAACCAGTGGAGCAGGGTATGCTTTGCTTTTAAGGAACTGCTTTGTTTTGCAAGGAAAACAGCACAACTTCTCTCTACTTTAACATATGGCCCCACTAGTCCTTTCCAGCATTGAAATTTGTTCCACACCATCCTCCTAATTACTTCATAGATCATTGCTCGGTTCCATTTAGTAATCAAGGGACAGCTGTACTGATGCTCCCCACACAAGAAATTACTCATTTTAATGAAGGGAGCGTAATTATGTTTTCTCTTTCACCCTTAAACAGGGGAGTGGGCGGAAAAAGCAATGTTCAAGCCAAATTAGATAAGCTGTGTTTAGATGCTCAACAGGGTACTGTAGAAACTTGGGAACTTTGGAGGGTTTTGAGCTGTTTTGTATGCGTGATATTCTGAAACAAATTGGTCAGATCTGCCCATATTTTTTCATGAATTAAAAAATGACCAGAGAATTTTTTTGAAACATCATAAATTGTCTGTACCCAAATGGCATTCCCTTTTCCTGTGTTGCAGGCTGAAAGATTGCACTGGGGGAAAAATTGTTAGAAATGACAATGGCGCTTCATTTGCTTGACTGTGTACTGGTAGCTGTTTCCATTGCATTCTTGGCTGGTGAAGAACAGTGAATCATCATTAGTCTTGTAGAGTGCACGTTTCTTCTTCTAATCTAAACCACACAGCATTACTTCATGGTGTAGACCAACAAATAAACTTAAATGCATAAGCTTTTGCTATTGAAGAACCATTTGCACAAGTCTGAAAGATTCCCGCCTCCATTGTTATTATTGCTGCTTCTGTCATACTTTCAGTACAGGATACCTGGTAGCATTGGGTAGCATCTAGTAGGTGTATGTTTCTAATAAGAAGAATAGTTTAGCAACTGAAGCTATTCCTTCAGATCAGCTAAAACTAAGGCTAACACTGGAGCTAGTCAGAGTAAAGTTTGATGCTGAGGAAAACGTATTGTCTGTTGCACAAGATATTTCAGAAAACTTTAATGAAGTAATAAAAAAATTGTCAAGTTTACAAGTAAATTAAGATTTATCTTTACACACACTGTGTTAATCAGTAATGCCAGCACTGTACAATCCTGTTTAATCTGACTGATTTATCAAGCTAACAATCAGCAGCTGAGCTTAGAAAAGCTAACAAACTAGCTAAATGATCTTAAAGTTTTTTGTAATGTTATTCATCGTTAGATGTTAGGGTTGGGAAAAATAATCAAGTTTTAGATGCGTCATGATTCACTCTTGATTCTGAACTGATACACAAATCATCAGCCAGATTTTTATTTTGGTGTTTCATCTACAGTAAAATAAACCTGCATGCCCACAGAGACATTGTAAAATAGTTTAAAGTATCAGCTTTTCTTAACAACGAGCTCAGGAGATGCTAAGTGGCTAACAAGTAAACCTGTCACAATAATTATATCATTGTCTGATCACAATTATTTGAGCTGATTGCCGTTATTTTGCCTGTCTGCAATTATTTTCCACCATTGTTGTTAATATGTCCATAACAATGTCCATATCAAGATTTATAGCGTAAGGTATAGAAATAAAAAATCCCAAACTTTTTCATGCTCAGGAGTGAAACAAAAACATCACCCTCAAGGTGATCATGACAACAATTGTCAGGCGTCATATGTTTCGCAGCTACTCTCTTAACCTTATAATTCTGACTGATATACTGCCTCCACCACCCTCACTAAAGTTTCTCTTTTTGGCTTGAGGAAGGAGGATGAAATATGATTTAGAGAACATTAGATGATTTTGTTTGGCTGAGACGTGTCAATAATAATTTTGGAAACGGTCAATTATACACTCACTGGCCACTGTAATAGTTTCACCTAACTTGTTCCTACACTCATTGTCCATTTTATCAAGTCCTTTCACTATATAGGTGTATTTTGTAGTTACATTTTGTAATTACAGATTGCAGTTCACCTGGGTTAATTTGTTAGTCCTCCCTTTACCCTGTTCATTAATGGTCAGGATCCCCACAGGACTGTCAGGTGAGCAGGTAATATTTGGATGGTGGGTCACTCTCAGTACTGTAGTGATATTGACATGTTAGTGTGAGTTGCACACAAGTGAATCACACACAGAAGTGTCACTGGAGTTTTTAAGCAATTCAGGGTCACTGCTAGACTGAGAACAATCCACTGTCCAGAAATACCTGCTGACCACTGATGAAGGACTAGAGAACATAAACTGTACAGCAACTAAACAGCACAAAATGAGCAGCAATCACCTATAACTTGTCCACATGGGGGCCCAACAAGATAGGAGTGCTTATTATAGTGGACAGTAAGTGGACAGGGTTTAGGGGCTAACAGATAATGCAAAGAAGTAGATGGGCTGCAGTCTGTAATTGTAGAGTACAAGAGTGCACCTGTGTGGTAAGTGGACATGATAAAGTGGACAATGAGTGAAGATACAAGGTACCTAATAAAGTGACCAGTGAGTGTATTTCCTTCAGTGTGGGGGCTGTAGAGGCTGGGTGTCAATGCAGCAGTCTACTGAAAAATATTTTCTTTTTATCTGTCAAGTATTAGTTGTTGACCATGTAGCCCTGCTAGCCATTCAAAGTCCTTAACATGTCATTAGAGTAGGTTTTCTGAATGGTGCATTGTTTAAAATCTGTAGAGCAGAGTGGGGTGTATTGTGTGTTTGGGAGTCCAGGGGACATTAGATTAGTCACGTTCCTGGGGAGAAGTCAAGGAGGATGATGTCATTAATTTGTCCACTTGGTCTCATTCTGAATTGTAGACCACTTGGTCTCATTCTGAATATATGAATTGGCGATTTAAAAGGGCTTAAATGAATGAAGATATATATATATATATATATATATATATATATATATATATGTATATATATATTTATTTATTTTTATTTTTTTTTTTAAGTTACAGTCACAACAGTGCTAATTAGACACTTTGCACGCTTGATCACTTCACGCTCTACTTCAAAAGCCGCAGGTGCAGGTTGAATTTTCTCAGATGCTAACCAGAACAATTGTATGTCCATGGACCTGCATTTATTTGATGTAATAGCTAAGCTTCGTAATGTATTCCCTTTGCAAAATTTGCAAGGATTTATGCTGATGAAAGTGGCCAAATGTTTGGCAGCTGATGCACTCATGAGAAGGCCTGAGAAATGCTCGCTGAGTTTTGCATCTAAAACAGGTGGTGCTTAAAAATAGAGATTAGTGGTGATTTATGAGCCGTCATTAAGGCTGCCATGAGTAGCAAAAAGCAGTTTGCTTGCAATTGCAAAAAACGTTTTTATTATGGAGGGGGAAAGGGCCATTTTGAATCCAATAGAGACAGTTTTGTCCAATTTATGGTCCTTCCTTGATATCCCATTTACCCTTTGCATATGTGTCTGAGTTACTGTGTAATTTAGCTGGGTGCCATTGGAAA